ACAAAAAGGTTCCAACAGTTACGAAAGGAAAAAATCAATAAAAAATGTTAAATACATACTAATTCGGCTGTTTTGTGATGGTGTGAAATTTACGGAAAAAGTATACACTTTGTATGTTCACGATGCAAGTAATTTAGCGGTATGGATACTTAATACTCCTTTTAAGCATATTCCGCGATAGCTTGAACAAGTCAAGTATTAAATAGTGGCCGTCGTATGTCCGGGCTGATCGATACAAATATACCTACTGTAATTATTAAAATCATAACTCGTGCGAAGTAACTGTCCCAACTGTTTATTGGACCATGGCATTGATATACATAAATCATAGATTAAAAAGGCTGTATTGCTATCTAATATCACGCTGACTAATTTGCAGACAAGCGAGTGTAAAATCTAAAAAATCCAATTTTTCAAATGCAAATTACACAGTCTTTCATCTCATAATAATTAATATTCAACATAATTTATGTTCGCATAAATCTGAGCGCTGAAGTCTTATTTGTATTTTTATTTTTATTTATTTTCAGCTTAGGATTATAGGATTTTATGTTTGGGTTTTATATTAGAACATTTTGTTTTTAAGTACTTTTAGTGTTATTAATTAGCAAACAAGTTATGAAAAAATATATTTCAATGCGAAAGCTTGTTTGAATATAAAACAAGTGTGGTTTTATGTTTGTTTGTCATAAGTTCATTGCCGTTAACGAAGACTAAGAAAGGACAGTGCAAATACTTTAAAATGAACGTCTTGCTTATTTTTATAAAGTATCTTATAACATTTTGTATACATTTGTAAAAATGTAAATAATTTCGTGAATATTGAAACATAAGTGACGCGAAGCCAAATCACTTTTTGGAATAAGGCTGACCATTATCATGACTTTGTCACTGGACGAATTGTCGAACGGTACGAGACTCAAAAACAGCTATAGATGAGTCTTAATTACTTTGAACCGTCGATAACCTGGACAAGCCCACCGACCAGCTGCTGTGACCAAATCACGCTTCTTACGTGTCTCACCATAACATCTGCGCTAAGGGAAGCTATAGACCGAATAAACTGGAGATATACTGGCAGGACACTAGGTACCTTACCGTAGGAATACGACGGAAATGTCTCTGACTTGACATGTAAGCTTTAAAAAAATTCTAAAAAAATGAGGTCAATGTTGGTTTTGAGATCTTACTGCTGCGCTGCGCTGCTAATTATAAATTGTATGAAGGTGATATTTGACAGTTGGATTGTTCTTATATAGTAAAAATTATATTTTAATGAAACTTCTATTATAAACGCGAATTTATTACATAATTGCCGTATCTCGAAGTTTTGATAAAGTTTTTATAAATCAAAGACAAAACTATAAATTGATAAATGGCATTCCAAGAAAAGAAACTTATTGATGACGCAAGTCAAGTTGTCAGTGCAATTGTGACACCGCGTTACCCTCTATACAACCGAGAGATAGAGGCAAATAGCCGTAGCACTTACCAATCTTGAACCCCAAATTGTATACTCAATGAAACAGCCAATGCCACCCGTGGAGTAACTAAACGGCATAATCCCATCCAACTAAGCGCTAACAACTAAATTAGACTTATCGTTTCACACTTTATAAATCTGTTATACCCCCGACTGAGAGTTTTAAATCAAAAATAATACACGCCCACCATTTTGAATTCTAAAAGCTCTGATAACAGTATTTAGTCATTAACCTAGGGCGAAGATCAAATAAAACTGTACATATAACAAATAATAATTTTCTTCGTTATTTATAATAGTCGAGGGAATATTTTCACAAGTTGATATATCTCAAATTTACAAACGCATACTCACTAATCAAATAACAGCATAACTAGCTTAAATTAGCTAAATAGCATAAGCTAACCTACCATATAATATTTAGGAAAATATTGTAAGTAACATAATAATGACCATATGGACTTATGACTGTTAACTTGAATAAATAATAAATTATTATTATTGTCATGTTCAATGCCTTTTATTTAGTAATTCATCTTTTTTTATTTACAATGTACAAGACCAAAAACAAAAATAAAACGCAGCACATAATTATAAAAAAAAAATATATGCTAAATTTAATGTATCTAAAAATATGTAGAACGCATTATCTAGCATTATGTAGCTATGTTTCATTTTTCTACACACATATTCTATTAGAAAAAAAGTGTGTGTGTCAGCTACGACGCACGATTGGAGTTTACTCCTTAAGAACGATAAAATGGCGATAATGTTCTGTGGCTGTCGACCATATTTTCATACTAAAGGTGGTAAGAATATATGTTTTTATAATATAAATGTTTGTAGTAGTAATAAAACGTACCTACATCATCTATGCCCAAATAGGATTTTCTTTCTGTGACCAAAGTTACCTTTATAGTAAGAGAAGAATAAGAATGAACAATCTTTTTAGTTTTAATTTCACTGACCATTACTATTGACAAAACTCTATGGCACGCTAGACAATCTACTTTTATTTTTTACACCTGTCATCACTGACAATGTTGTAGGCTGTAGCGTGGCTGTCAAAACGTGAATTCAAAATAGAAAAGTCTGTGTAATGTATTCCATCTCATTCTTTTACACGTTAAATCCTACAGATATATATGTTTGTCTCTTTCTACATAACGCCTCAACTTTTCGTGTTACACTTGATTTTACTCCTCATACAATTTCCGTACCGGGCCTTATAACTCAAATCATTTCTTAAGGAGTAAACTCTATATGTTTGTCTCTTTCTACATAACGCCTCAACTTTTCGTGTTTCTACATAACGCCTCAACTTTTCGTGTTACACTTGATTTTACTCCTCATACAATTTCCGTACCGGGCCTTAAAACTCAAATCGTTTCTTAAGGAGTAAACTCTATATGTTTGTCTCTTTCTACATAACGCCTCAACTTTTCGTGTTACACAAAGCCTCAACTTTTCGTGTTACACTTGATTTTAACTCCTCAAAAAAAAAATTCCCTACCGGGCCTTATAACTCAAATCGTTTCTTAAGGAGTAAACTCTATATGTTTGTCTCTTTCTACATAACGCCTCAACTTTTCGTGTTACACTTGATTTTACTCCTCATAAATCTCGGAAATTTTTCCGTACCGGGCCTTATAACTCAAATCGTTTCTTAAGGAGTAAACTCCAAAAAATGCTCTGCATAATATCTGGAAAATCTAAATTCCCTTAACGACATCTGTAATAGATATTCGATTTGAAAGACCGATTATCAAATCATTCTTTGAATGAACGATTCACGAATGAATGAAAATCGGTAGCGTGATAATCGTTTATTGGTCGAGTGCTCGCGAGTCGAATGCTTCGCTTTATATCGAGTGTACTCTAGTTGGGCAAATGGACGGTGAAATTGTTCTGAAGACTTATGAATGGTAACTTGTATTGTGTATTATGCGATAGTGAATGAGTGTTTTAAGTATATAATTTAAAGTTTAATGGGCTTCTTACGGGTTCGTAAGATTGATCGTTCAATATTGTATTTTGAGTGACTGTATGAATAAGTGAGAGAGCAGTGTTGGCTTAGTGGTTTAAGTGCGCACTTCAAGGCTGAAGTCATGCGTTCGAATCACGGCTGTGCACCAATATAATATTTATCTTCGCACTTAACACTCTCTTGTATGGTAATGGAAAATATCGTCAGGAAACTGGCATGTCTTAGTCCCAAAAATTTACGGCGTGTATCAAAATAGGTAGAAGGCGGATCACCTACTTACCTATAAAGAAAAAAAAACACGAAACAATTACAGAAACTGAGGGCCAGCCCATTAAATGACAACTGTAATACCCTGCCAACTGTCGTTTCACAGTAGAGCATTTTGTGCAACCCACTGAGGTATTTAGGAACCAATTCGACTTAGAGGCCTTCACGTAAACAGCGTACCAATTCTTAAAAAGCCGGCAACGTACTCGCAAGCCCTCTGGCATTGAGAGCGTCCATGGACCGCCCGTCTCCTGCCCGTTTGTGCCCTGTTATATAAAAAACTTATATTTTCTAAGTTACCTTAGTTTTTTCTATTTGTGTGAGAAATTAATGTGCTCTCTAGGTACTACTAACACTTACTCTTAATTTCAGTGTCATTCAATTAAATTAACATCTAATTATTAGCTAAGGTATCGTAATAAGACTTATTTCTTTAGTGTATACTCTATTTTTACTGATATTATGTTACCTGTTATAGGCGCAATGAGGTAGGTAATAATTTTCCACTGTCACATTTTTCCTTAAATCAAAACAAATCACTTTTATTTCTTTTTAACATCGTCTCGTAGTCTAGTCATGTTCATACAAAAACTTTAATTTACTCAAATTCTTCGTCGAGCAATTTCCGGGTTTCTTAAGATCATAAAACTATAGAGTCACTTAATTAAAGTATGCTCCGTATATTTCTTAAGCTTAATTGCCTCTCTTGCATTCAAATTTTATATTAAATTAAATTTGTGTGCGGTACGTTTTTTGAATGAGCAGTGAACATTTTTGCTCCATTCATATTCAATTATACTAATTACTGTATAAAGCTTAAAATGAAAAAGGATTATCGGGCTCCCTCTGAATGAATATCTTTTTACGAAATATTTATTAAGAAACCGTGACATTTGAAGTAAGCTTTACAAAACGACCAGTTGAAATATGCAAAGTTGAATTTTTTTATTTGTTATCTTCAATCAGTACGGTTACCCACTTACAATAGCGAATTAAGATTTTGTATCTCAATTCAGTTATTAGTACAGATATTGCAATGCAATCTTGTGGTACAAAAATCTTCGCTGTAACTATTGGAACTTTTGAACATCACTCACTCACTCGTATGTTGTTTAAAATTTGGAGAAGAATTTGTTGTAAACAGTTTAAAAAAATACTTTGTTATGGAAGAGCTGGGAACCCTGACACAGGTATCTTTTACTTAAAAGGGTTCCCAAATTTACTTGTAATGAATATCTACTTATAATGAATTTTTATTTTATTTTAATGCCCCCACAAATTTATATATACCGGTGTGGCGTTATGAATGGATAACATGCGGGTAGAAGATGTTGCAGTCAGAAGTTCCAGTGTGTGTATGTGATCGATCGTTGAGTACTCGTTCCTAAATCCGGCTTGCTTGACAGGTTGACGCGCTTCTACTGTAGGGTATATTCTCTTATTCACTATTGAAGAGAAGAGCTTGTAGATGGCAGGTACCAGGCTTATTGGTCTGTAGTTAACTATATCATTGGGGTCACCCTTTTTGTAGATAAGGATAATGTCAGATTCTGACCACTGGGTGGGTGTTTCTCCAGTGTTAAGAATGAGGTTAAACAGTTCAGTCAGGTGGACTATAAGAGTTTCTGAATCGGTTTTTAGTATCTCATTTGTGATGCCGTCAATTCCTGGGCTTTTCCCTGATTTAAGAGTTTTTGTTGCTGCTATTACCTCGCTTATTTCAATCTGAGGTATAGGTGGATTTCTAATGTTTGGGCTTAGGTAATGAACTCTTCCATTTGTGTTAGTTGTTTCTCTGATGTTGTATAATTCTTTATAAAATTGTGTTGCTACAGTGATTATGTCTTTACGGTTGCTGTGTGTTTTTTTGCCTTGTTTCAAACCTTCTATCCATGTTTTATGTGTTTGCAGCTCTTTGTAAGCTTTTTTCGTGCCTCCAGTTTGAATTATATGTTTTTCGATAGTATTATATGTGTGGTTTGAGTAGTATTTTCTAATATATTTACTTATGAGCTTGTAAAGGGCAGATATCTCATTTTTAATTGTTCTTGATTTGGGTTTTGTCTTCTGAAGTTCCTTTCGTCTCTCCATAAGCTGTAGCTCTGACAGTATTTTATGTGTTTTTTGTTTTTGTTTTGAATTTCTTGCAGGCTTCTGGTGATATCTTTGACAATAATGTCGTAATAGCTCTGTACTGTTTTATTTAGCGGTGCTTTCAGTGTCTCATTTATGCACTTGTTGAATTGAGAGATATCGTCTTCGTTCGTTATTGTTTTCTTTTGATGGTTATTGTACTTTGTTCGGCTTTTCGTATGTGCAAATAATATCGTTGCTCTGACGGGCCTGTGGTCTGAGGGGAATTTTATATTCAGAACTTCAATATTTTGAAATATCTGTGGGCGTTTTGATAAAACAAGATCGATTTCATTTTTGTATTTTTTATCAGGAGAGTGCCAAGTCCACCTATTTTTTACTTTTTTCTTGAAAAATGTGTTTACTATTTTGTTTACTATGTTAGCAAATTCCATCAATAGCTGTCCCCTCTCATTTCTCTCTCCATATCCGTTCGGTTTCGTGACTAGATATTCTTCCTTCCTTGGTTTACCAATTTTCGCATTCCAGTCACCCATGAGTATGAAGTCTTTGTGTGATTTATCAATCGCTTTGTTTAGTGTATAGTAGAATTTGTCAATCTCGTCTTTGATAGCTTTTTCCGTAGGGGCATAAACTTGTATAATTGACAGCCGCGTATCTTCGAATACCAAGTTTAATATAGCGATTCTTTCTTATAGGCCAATGTAGCTCTCTATGCTGTTTTTGTGGCATTTTTATTAGAAAGCCTACACCATACAAGCCTGGCGTTTGTCCCGTGTGGCATAGTATAAAATTGTCATACTCTTCTATTCTGTCTCCCATACGTCTGATTTCAGACAGTCCTATTATGTCATACTTAATGTTTGATAAGGATTCGTTTAATTCAATTAAGCGATCGTATGTTGAGAGTGTTTTAACATTGTATGTTAAGATATAGAGTTTTCCTGATGTTCTAGTCTTAGTTGTGGTGCTATTAGGGGTAGGTATTTTGAACCTTTGGAGGGTTTTGGTCATGGTCTTCCTCGGTGACCAGCCGGCTTGGAAGATGTGTATTCTTTTTTGATATTTTTTTATTTAAAATGTTATCCGTGTGAGAGGGGTGCTGTAGTTGTTAATACTTCATTTTGTCGTTGTCCCTTTTTCCAGGTGCGCTATTTGGGGTTTTGGTGGTTAGGAAGTTTAGGGTCCTTGGTTTTACGACTTCATCTGACAGACTAGACGATCGATCTTTTTTTATAAGTATATATAACGATCGTAATAGATGATTAAAATGAAATTTATGGGAAAACAAAAACTTATCACGCGGATCTCTCAGTTTTTAGATTTTCAACAAAATAACAATTTTGTAGTAAATTTTCTAGCCAAAATCGACTCGTTGCAATTGCAACTGGCTTTTTAATTTAAGATACCTATCTAAAGAAGATTGTTCCGATCGCTTTTCGCATTTTTCTAAAGATTATGTATGACTCCAGTTTTATAAGGGTGGATTCGTGTCTAAAAGAGATTTTTGTTCTTATTCAATAACAATAACTTTCCTTCGAATATCCGATTCCGATAAAAGCTTGCGTTCCATCTAGATTACCTGTGCAACATATACGTATATTTATGGTTATATTATCGTCATTTGAATAATCTGAAATTTATTTTGATAAGACTTCTCTTTCTAGACATTTAAGTTAATATGATATGATATTTTTTAGATTGTTAAACTAAAGAGTTAATAAATTTGTTAAGTTGAACACGATTATCTCAGGGGCAGTGTTATAGGAAACTGCATTTATAGAGCCACGATCAATATCTATATTTTTTTATGTAATAGGAGGGAAAAGGACAGGACAGTCACATTGCTAGAGAGTTCCCAAGTGCGTTGCCGGCCTTTTAAGACTTGGACTACGAGTATAAAATATCGACTCTAGTTTTTTCCTAACATATATTTTATAAATTGTCTAGCCTTACTTAAGACTAATAAGCAAGTAAATTTACTAGAAAGGACATTTAACATATGAAAGTGTCCAATAACTAACATATTATATAAAGAAACGGATAAATTTTGAATCAACAATTAAGTGTTAGTAGAACAGCGTCAGTAATCTGTAACTTCTAGTAGCGATACCGAGGTTATGAAATGCTACGATACTGAAAAAGCTATATCTAAATTGCATACAAAAATATGAAAAACCAGCATCGCACTTACGTTCGTTATACTTTTTATAGTTAGTCGTCTAAAACATTTAATGTCGCAACTAATTTTTGTACTCCTAAACACGAAATCGCAAAATAAATTTGATAAAATGTCAATATTGAATACCCGAATGTAAATAAGGTCAGGCATGAATATGTAAGGTAAACATTTTGGGATGAAGAGATGTTTTTCCCTTGTAATATTTACAAGCTTTTGTGACAGAACCTTTAAATCCAAACGAGATTTTTCGAAGCAGGATTAACAAAGAATGTTTCTCCGTATTCTTCTTGATGTAAGGTAGATTTGAATTAAATTGAGTGTATTTAATAATCGGTAATTCTTTGTGAATACAACATTACTTGATGTAAAATTTTACGACTTTTAAATAATATAAATAAATCAATGGCGCTTCAACCTCTTTAGGTCTGGGCCTCAGATTTCTGAATCTGTTTCATGATAATTTTTCAATCTAATAGGCAAGTAGGTGATCAGCCTCCAGTGCCTGACACACGCCGCGCCGTCGACTCTTTGGGTCTAAGTCATGTCGGTTTCCTCACGATGTTTTCCTTCACCCTTCGAGCGAATGGTACACAAATAAATTGTGCGTGTACTAGGTGTACACACGTAAGAAGTGAAACTTCTTTATGATCTTATTTTTCGAAAAATGATCTACTATATGCAACTTTACAGAAATTCGTTAAATTAGATAAAGTTTAACAAAAGGCTTTTATTATCATAGACATGAATACAAATATTTCATTTTACCTTATTACTACGAAGATTATTATAGAATTTCATTAATTGTAATAGAATTATTACTATATGAAAAAGTGACGATTTGCTACAAAATTTCTCCCATACGTCGATAAAGAAGTTTCATTCCAACGCCGATAAAGAAGTTTGACTTCAAAAAGCAACATGGCGCGTAACCGAAAAATGTGACGCGTAACGAAAAAATGTTACACTAAATTTTTTTCCAACCTCGATAAAGAAGTTTCACTTCAAAAAGTCCATTGGTGCTCAGCCGGAGATCAAACCTACGACCTCAGGAATGTGAGTCGCACGCTGAAGCCACTAGGCCATCACTGCTCTCGATTAAAACATAATTTTCGTTAATATTACTGAGCGTTATATAAAATTATACTCACGTAAAGTTAGTTCTATCAAATTACTAAATCAGAGCAAAGCTATCCTTGTCTCATCTATAATGTATCGTCTAATATACCAAATGTGAAACTTAACACAATTATCCTCTGGTTAATATTAAATCCACGTAAGTTAATTGTATTTGTAGTTGTTTCAAGTTTCCAACTTAATTCTATTTGATTTGAAGGCCGCTGTGTCTACAAATGAAGTTGTGACAAGACTCTCAAAATAACTTAAAACTGGAAGAGATCGGTCATTTACAAACCGTATTTTGTGTCGAAATGGAAAAGATGGAATTTCACATTTTGCTTATATCTGAAATTCCATCCATTCCATTTACATGTCATAGACCCAAAAAGTCGACGGCGCGGCGTGTGTCCGGCACTGGAGGCTGATCCCCTACTTGTCTATTAGATTGACAAATGATCATGAAACAGATACAGGAATCTGAAGCCCAGACCTAAAAAGGTTGCAGTGGCACTGATTTATTTACTAAACTGATTTCAGAAACCCGAAGGAAATTTACAAATCATTGCGTATTATTTTAGCGAAATACTTTGGATGTAATGTTTGCGTTCGTACCCGTATAAAAGTTGGAACATTAATATTTTTTTGTTTGCTTATCAGTATTCCAACAGCTACTTATTATATAATATCTAAACATTATACATAAAAGCCAAAAACTAAAAAAAAATCTATAGTAAATTGTAAGATGGATTGATCATTATAATATTTTTAATATAAAAGAGGAATAACAAAGCCATTATGTCTAACAAAGGATACCAGAGATTTTTTATATTATTTGTCAAACGTTTTTGAGGTGTATTAAATATAATATATATCTGCTGGTAATTTGTTTTAATACTACCATTTACAGCTATATTAAGAGCTACCTAAGAGAATCTAAAATAAGAACTAAAGTAATATTTACCCAATCACTACAACGTTGTAGTCATAAATAAAATAGAACATAGAATATTTAACAAATAAAAAGCGACATTCTGTGTCGACTTATTAACAAAATGTTATGTTAAAGGAGGCTAATGTATTACGATCATCATGTTTGAACATTACATAAGATATTTTGGTGTGCATAGTCAAACAATAAAATATCATATTTACAGTTTGCTTAAAACTAAGTTGTCTAATAGCAGCATTTTCAGCTTACTTGTACCAACCAAATATAATACATGTTATGGATATATTATTTTTATTATTATAATTAATTGCTTTTTTTCTAATTACATGTTTTTTGTCTCTTTCTCTTTTTCGAAATTTTAAAGGTGAAATAATTTGTTAAATCAGCCAGTATCATTGAGTTCATTAGTTACAAACAATATTAAAACGTAATAATATTATTAATACAATGATATTATTACGCTTTAATACAGATGATTTTTGTCTTATTTTAGGTGTTTCTAAATCTAATGTGAAAACGTTATGGTTACCGCCATCTATTGGTAAGGCGTAATAAGTAAAAAGTAATTTAATTTTTTTATTTGTATTAAAATATACAGTAAAGTTAAATAAAGGTTACTATATTATTATTAAAAAAAGTTAAAACATATGGAAAATGTTTTTATAACAAACTTCAGGTTTCCCTACAAATAGTTTCTCTACTAAGCAACAGATGGCGTTAGTGGTATACTAATGAAGAATTTCTTCTGCACTAGTAGCATTTATATAAAACTACATAATATCACTAAGGACTAGTCAAAAGTTCCCATAACCGACGAACATGCATGGTGAATGTCATGAAAGTGGATGAAGTGAGAGAGGTATGTCTTACCGTGCAAGTGGAGATACCGCTTTGGCTAATAGGCGTGAATATACATATAAATAAACATACAAATACTATTATAATAAACATATCGCACACCAATTTTATGATAATTGAATTGTTTAATTGGTAAGTAAGTGCCATTTGGGGCTGTCCCATATATATTTAAATAAATTAGGACGCAAAAATGATGCGATTAGAAATTATCCCCACTCCCAACCAAGATGAGAATGTAGATGCAAAATTGTATTACCATGAAGGTACGTAGATCTTCTTTTGTCACAGGCAAGTATTACTTCTATTTTTAAATATTTATTCCTTTGTACCTCGCCTACCAATTATCGTTTCGCCGAGATCCGAAGTAAAAATGTAGGTTATGCCCATTGAGTCATATTAAGCCACCGAGTTACTTTCCAACGATAGGGACAATTACTGTGTCCCAAATAAACAACAGACAGTTCCTTGTGCAGAGGCTGTTAGCGCAGACGTACCAGTCATCCACCTAGTCCTGAAGGACTGGCTGTGGCTTCCCCATGATCGGAAAACCTCGGAGAAGTGCGAGAAGCCTGCGAAGTGCCCAGGAAACTTCTGAAGTGGCTAGACAGTCTTAATTAAGACAAAGCAACGGACCAAATGTCTTAGTCCGGAAAATGAGTCCATCTTACTTATACTATATTACATTCGTTCCGCCGAGAGTAGAACCCAGGACCTTTA